TGGCGGAACGCACGAGGGTGCCACCGACCGGCCATGCAAAGCCCCTATCTGATCGATTTAACTAAACACCTCCACTATATCACCCTTAACTGATCTTCACCTTTCACCCTTTTGTACACGGTAGACTGCGTACCTCGCCACGGTACCGTACTTCTTCTGCGCCTTCTTCGCCTTGGAGCATCTCTCCGTACACACGAAGAGACGCGCTCTGTTCGCTCCACGCCACGGACCACAAGAAGGATAGGAAAAAAAAAGGGAAAGAAAAGAGAGAGAACTCGTGTAAAAGTCGTGAGAGAAGTCCGAGACGTGACCGAGACTTGACGATGACTTTTCCGACGACTCGCCCCGCAGGCTGAAACAACAGAGCCGAACGGAAGAAGCTCGTTACTTCTGCAGGGACAAGACAACTGAAATTTCCCGAAGTTTTCGACTCGAAAGTTTTCGGGGAAGCAATCGGGAAACTGATTTCGGGTCACGAGTTTCCCTTCGGAAATCAGAGCGTGAGGGAAAAAATGAAACGACTGCTCCGAGACAATGGCGCTTTGCTTCCTTTCTTTTTCTTTGCTTCTCTCTATTCTCCTCTGATCCCGCGTTCCGATTCGTTTCGCGTTCGTTCGTAAAAACGGATTTCACCAAACGGCAGCAGTTAATCGTATGCAAAGACGTCGTCCCGTCGTGTGCACGGTTATTCAGCCGATGCAACGAGCTTTCAGCTCAACGCAGCGCGCTTTCAAGCTCAAGTTGGAAACTAACAGATTTCGCTCTGCAGTGTTTCCCGTGCAGCCTCTCTCGCGCTGCTCATTACCTACTCTCGAGAAATCATCCGGCGACCTTTGTTCACCTCCGGGACCACGGAAGAATTCCGAGTCGTGTCGCGGTACAAACCGGTGAAAAGGGTTCGTCGGGCTGATTGCCTGGAATTACCGAGATCCAGCTGCACCGTCGAGCGTACGAGTCGCTCGCGGACAGAGGCACGAGACCGCGATTTCAAAGGGAACCTCCTAAGAAAATCCTACTGTCGAACGGATAATCTCTTGGAAATGCCAAGTTCCACATAATTTTACAATCCTTCCTTCTTCCAATTTGTTGAAACATTCCACGCAGCTGCTTGTGTTTTTACGTTTTCGTCTATTCGTGATACGGCGGATCGTTTCCCATGGGCGAATTACATCAACATGCAAACGT